ATTCATTCGAAAGCTTTAATGTAGTATTTTTATTTTACTCTAACAACGAAGTTCGAGTTTATTATAAAAATAACGAGCTATTTTAAAAAAAATTCATGTGACACGAATTAGAAATTTTTTATTTAATATAGAAAATAATTTGAAAGGACATGTCACACGACTGTTAAGGGTAGAGTTCGGTTACACAGTACATCATATGGCAAAAAATCACATGACCACAATTTTAAGGTTTGAACAAATAATACTTCTTGTAAATTGTGAAACTTAAAACTATTGAACAATGTGCTTTTAATAACTTTTGTTAATAAAGTTTTACTAAAAAAGTAATGTGAAGTTCAACATATGTTATTGGGGTGTTAGATATAAGTATAATCACAAACATAGGGGAAACCAAATAATAAAATCAATTAGTAGGGATTTTGTACCACATAAATATGTTTATCAAATTTTATTTACCACCAAGTAATCGCAAATAATTGCTTTTGCTTTTTCTTCATTAGATAATTCTGACACTACATTATTTATATTATTATTTTTGTTTCTCATTACTTCTCATGTTTCTTTTAAATTTTCATCTGTTAAAACAATATTATTTCTTCTTGGTCTTGATAGTTTCATTCGTGCTTGTTGAAGCTCAATATCCATGTTCAGGTTTGTTTTCATATCATATCAATTGAACATTCCTTCTAATTGTTGCTGATGAACTATAATATTCCAAATACGATTTTTGATGAAATCATACAGTAGTGAAAATTCCCAAAATTCAGTTGTATTTTCTACAACAAATTGATGAAATTCACTAAAAAAATTGGAATTTGCAAAGCTTCTTTTAAACCAAAGGTGTTTAAATTTTCTTTTTCTAAATGCTGTTTTAATGATTCAACATAAGAAATTTCTTTTGGGGAGGGTGTTTGTGATATTTGAAGATTATAAAACACCAGAAAAAAAGCATGAGCAAACATTGGACCATTATTACTACCCAAGCAACAAATTATTAAAGGTAATTGAGTCCTGCATTTTAACCACTTTTTAATGCTATCACAAGCTTTTTTTACACCATTTTTTAGTGATTCACAAAGCTCTTCAAATTTTTCATTTGATAAATTATTTTCAGCATCAAGTAATATATCAGGAAAAATTCCAAATAATTCTTCCTCTGCATTTTCCAGTTCAATAATCCATTCTCCAACTTTGTCTGGCATTTCATGAGCTCGATTTCCAGGTGGAAGAGTGACAATATAATTATTATCTAATATTCTTGGTACAATATCCTTTCCAGTTAAAAATTGATAAATATTTTCGTAAAATTGTTCACCAAACTTAATCATTGACTTGATTTGAGCATTGAGGTAATAATCATCAAGCCATTTATTAAAAATTGTCCATTTTTTAATATAAGATTGTGGAGCATTTTTTAAATTGGTGAGCTGAGACAAAAACCAAGGAACAAATTTTTTATGAATCTCTCGTCGTTCAATATATTGCTGGGCTGTTCTTAATTCATATAACCATCTTCCTGCAATTGGATTTGGTATTGAGTCAATTCAAAATTCAAAAGAGCTTTATAAAGATTTTGGATTGTCTTGAACTTCATATTTAATGGACTATCTTTATCACTCATTATAACCATTATGTAAATGAAAAGCCAATCGAATAAGACTGATTTGATGTTCTTGGAGAGATATTCCAGAAGGAGCATCCAATTTTCCAAATGCAGCATTTTGAAAATTTGTTAAAGCTATATGGATAACATGCAACCCACATGGAATTCTAAATGAAGTTGTATTAGCCATTTTGTTGAATTCTGTTACAGCTCATTTTGCTTCTCCAGACATATATGAGGTATTGTCAGTAAGCCAAAAAAAGCAATTAGTTGGATCAAGTTCATTTTTGCAACAACACTCATAAGCTGTGGTAGCTACTGTTATAGCATTAACTCGATCAAGATCTCTCATTTCTACTACTGTCATAGTTGGTTCATTTTTGCTTGAATTCCAATGCACAAAACAAAGTATAAAAATTTTATGTTCACCTCGTGTGCTTTCATCAGCCATAATTCCATAACCAGGGTAATTTGAGGTTGCTTCATTTGGTTTGTTTTCTTTAATTGAAATCTCTGCAATTTCTTTTGTCCATCAACCTAATGTATTAGGTGAAATCCATTTTTCTGGGTCTTTTCCAGTAAGAAATTTATAAAAGGACTTAGTACAGTCCACAGCAGTAGTAATGGATGTGTGACCAACAAGCTAACATCAATAGCCAGCTTTACAAATTCAGGTCAGTATTCTTTTTTATTTTTTTTGAATAATTTATGTGATTGATTTCGAAATTCATTTGGAGTTAATTGCTTCGCATTTTGTATTGCAGATCTAATTTTTGATATATAATTATTTTTGGCTTGTTGAGCTTTTCCAAGCCTTTTAGAAAGTGAATCAATTGTAGTTGTTGATTTATTATTAATCTTTTCAAGCTTATTTATTTTTATTTGAAGATCTTTGGTTTATTATGAATTGATTTTGCTGAAGATTCAGGCTTATATAATCCAGAAACAATGAAATCTTGGGCTTTTTGTTGAAGATAGGAAGATAATATCTCTCCCTCATTCTTACCTTTTGGATATACCATGGTTTCTAGGAGGTTTTGTGCATCAAATATTTGGTTATCAGGTAAGTTATTAATGTATTTAATTATTTGTTCACGTTTTTTATCAATATTACATCAGGAAAACTAATGTTGAGTATTATATGTATAATCATCATATAAATCACATATAATGGTCTATATGCAATTTATTCATATTTTTTTTAATATATTAAGCATATGTTATTTTATACAATGATTATATGTATAATATTTACTTATAATACTAGTATTAGATTTATACAAATATTTTATGTATTTTTCTAAGCAAATTATACATAGGAAAATTACACAACATATTCCATGCAAAATATCATGGAGATTATTTGTATAAAATGATTCTGCATGTGTTTGATGCAGAATATATGTATATTACAATATATGCAATTTATTCATGTATTGTTGTGTTTATTATACTTATGGTGATCTATATGTATAATATATGTAAGTATATGTAGAATATATTATATTGATTCTTGAGCATATATTCTTGGCTGTTTGACATGCAGCATATACACATATTATACATATAGTTCTTGTAAGTTTTTACTTTCAATTGGCATCATTAACAGTTAACAAGGATGGGTAAAGTATACCCTATGCAAATGTGGGTGATCTGTGTATAACAGTTTTTTTTTTTCCTGTTAATTTAGATCACTAATAGATTTTTTTTTGTATTATTTTTTTTTGAATAAAAAATTTAAAAAGCTTCTTTAAATCATATGCCAAATCTATTATTATTATTATTATTATTATTTTAGGTGAGTTTATTTATTTTTATTTTGCACAATCAGATCATGTTATGAGAGAAAAAGTATATAAGTCACTGCTGTTCCTAGGTTGGGGAGGAGTTTAAAATTAATATTTCAAATTTCAAATTTTGCAAATTATTTAAAAAAACCAAATCAAGTCAATTTTGAGGAATTTATTAATGATCTTAGGTTCATTTTGAAGCTACAATTGCACCATCCATTATATTAAAAAGTCACATATTGTTGTTGTGAAGGTTTTAATGTTGATAATTTAGAATAAATTGATGTTCTTGGACTCATTCAAAAGCCAAAGTTCTAACATTCATAATACTCAAAATCACATGTTGTTATAAAGATAAATCATCCATCAATAATTTAAAAGTAGATGTCTAAATTATGAAATTTTTATAATTAGTTATTCAATAACAATTGATTTAATCTCCACCCAAATTCAATTGATTAAAATAAAAACTTCTGTAGTTTTACCTTCTTAACCTACATATTAATATCATGTTTACATATGATTGATCTATAAAAAATTACCTTTGATTTTTTTAAAATCTTTTGTACCCAATTGAATCCAAAAATTCAAAAATTTGCAATTTTATCAATTCTTGAGACAAGTTGATGATCTTAGACTCATTCGAAAGCTAAAGCTCCATAATTCATTATACCAAAAAAATCATTATTGTTGTTATGTAGGCTTTAAAGATTGTAGACAATTTAAAATATCAACAATCTACACCTAAATTACTCACATAATCAATTAATCATTATCATTTGTTTTAATCTTCATCAAAATTCAATTGGTTGAAATAAACTTTGTAACCTTACCTCCTTAATCTATATATTATGCTTAAACATGATTATCATTCATTGATCTAAAAAAAATTATCTTTGATACTTTTAAACCTTTCTAACTGATCTGAATCCAAAAATTTGAAAATTTGCAATTTTACCAATTCTTAGAATAAGTTGACGATCTTAGATTCATTCGAAAGCTAAACTTCCATCATTCACCACACTAAAAAATCATATATTATTACCATGTCTATTTTAAGATCGTCGAGAATTTCAAACATCAATAATCTATGTTTAAATTATTCATATAATCAATTAATCATTATTATTTGATTTATCTTAACCAAAATTCAATAAAAATTTTTGTGGCCTCACCTTCATAACCTACATGTTATGCTTATAGATGATTGCTGTTCATTGGTGTATAAAAAATAAGTTTGGATTTTTTTTAAATCTATTTGTACTCAAAATTTGAAAATTTGAAAATTTGCAATTCTGCCAATTCTTGGAATAAGTTGACGATCTTAGATTCATTTGAAAGCTAATCTTCCATCATTTATCACACTAAAAAAATTGTATATTATTACCATGTCTATTTTAAAGATCGTTGAGAATTTCAAACATCAATAATCTACACCTAAATTATTCATATAATCAATTAATCATTATTATTTGATTTAATCTTAACCAAAATTCAATAAAAAATTTTGTAGCCTCACCTTCATAACCTACATGTTATGCTTATAGATGATTACCATTCATTGGTGTATAAAAAAATAGTACTGGATTTCTTTTAATCTATTTTGTACTCAAAAATTTGAAATTTGAAAATTTGCAATTCTGCCAATCCTTGAGGTAAATTTATGTTCTTAGATTCATCCGAAAGCCAAATTTCCATCATTTATCATATTAAAAAATTGCATGTTTTTATTATTTAAGTTTTAAAGATTGTTTACAATTTAAAATATAGACCTAAATTATAAAATTTTGACTCATATAATTAGTTATTCAATAACAATTGACCCAATCTTCACCCAAATTCAATTGATTGAAATAAAAGCCTTTATAAACCTTCTTAATCTACATATTATGCTCATACATGATTATCATTCATTGATCTATAAAATTTTTTTTGATCTTTTGTAGCTGATTTTGTAGCTGACTTGCATCTAAAAATTTGCATTCTGTCAATCCTTGGAATAAGTTGACGATCTTGAACTCATTTGAAAGCTAAAGTTCTATCATTTGTCATATTAAAAGATTGCATATTGTTATTATATAGACTTTAAAGATCGTCAACAATTTAAAATATCAACTACTCACATTAAAATTCCTTAATTTTGATTAAATTAATAAAATACTTAACCAATTGAAATGAAAATACCACTCTATTAGGATAGTTTCCTGGTATGGTTTATGCTTATGGTGTTTGCTGAATTATTCTTGTACTTCAGATTTGACTCATATAACAAAAAAAAAATTAATTATTTACTGATTTGTATACTCATTTATCAATGTAGGAGTCAATTTAATTCATTAAATTATTATTACCTTCAGCTTTCTTAGGCATAAACACATCCCATCCATAAGGCTGTTTTTATGATAGTGGTAAGAGTATATTCCCTTTAAAATTTTATACTAAAATTTCACATCAAGATTTTTTTTTTCAAAAATAATTAGAAAGCTTAGGAATATAAGTTTTATACCCAAAACCTTCAGTGCCTAAGCTGCACACTCATTATGTATATTTTTGTTTAATTAATACCTTTGTGGTTTTTGCCAAGGCACTGCATATATTTTTTGTGTATTTAATTTAATGTTTATTATCAACCACAAAGATGAAGAAAAATTGAATGTCTTTGGGCTGAATAGTAACTCATTTGTCTAGAAATTTTTAAAGTTTATTTGCCTGAAATAGGAAATATAAAAAAATCACTTACCATGAATATGCCTCAAATAACATTACCATATTGACTTCAGCTTGCCTATTTTAAAATATTTATGAAGATTTGATTTAATCTTTTTGCAGAATTAAGAAAGATAATCAGAAATTGCACTATGTAAATCACTTTTGGATAGGGATAGAGATAAAGATGGCTCCTCAATTAATTGTGACTAGTTGCAACTAATCATGGCATATGAAAATTGAATTGCAGCTAATTGTGGTAGTTTTCACAAATTTCAAACATACATATTAAAATCCTATTGTTTTATGTGGTGTTATTTCATTATAACTAAGGTTGCTTACTGGAGCCTCTTAGTGACTGTCAAAACTGCCAATTGCCAAAACCCTCAAATGCTGCCACAAAAACTTTAATACCATTAGTAACAATTTCAAACAGAAAAATAAAACATTTACCTGTAGTTATTCTATGAATACTTATCATCAATGCTTGGTCCAGAGTACATGTTGCTTTATCAAAATATTTTTTATAATTTTTGTTTATTGCTTCACTTGGTATTGGATAAACCACTGCATCATCATCTAACTCATATATAACCAGGCTTGATACCGCCATTTGTATTTACAACTGTTTGGATAATATTGCATTTGATCTTAATTCTCATATTGACTTCATTAATAAAATTCCACTAATAAATGGCAAATGGGACATAATGGATGTCTTCATTAATTTTACCAGGTGCAATAGTATTCTTTTATATTTTGACATTAGGTTAACAAGAAGAAACACTGAGATTTTAATTTTATTGAAATAAGGTCCACTATTTTATATGAAAATCAACATTTCTTTCATTCATAGAATTAAATTTTTTAATCTATTGTTTTGCATAATAAATAAATCAATAAAATTTTTTTTGTGAATCTCTCTAAAGCTTATTAAACAAGTGTTACCAGGATCAGATGATGATGACGATAATTTGGCCGAACCCTTTAATTTTGGGTCAAATTAAATTTTATTTCTATTTTTATTTATCAATAACATGTATAATTATTTATTATCATTGAATTCGTGTTACGTTTCGCATATTTAATTATTATTGTAATAGTAATAGTAACAGTTTTTATAGCATAACAATAGACAATGACAAACAACATTTATTATTATTTATTTATTAAATAATCTACAACATATTTATCAAGGTCCATAAATTTATTACTATTACTACCACCATTATTATTATTATCATTATTATTATTGTTGTTGTTGTTATTGTTGTCATTGTCATCATCACCATTGTCAACATCATCACCATTGTCACCATCATCACCATTGTCACCATCATCGTTATCATCATCACTATTACTATCATCATAATAATCATCATCATTATCTCCACCACCAATATTATTATTAGGTTCTTTTTATGAAATATACAGAACCTATGTGAAAAATAAGGATTAATTCTTAGAGTTGGTAAACACTGTGTAATTCCTGAGCATAGTGGACTTTCGATTTTGATCGACATTCG